CCAATATTTGTCTGCATTCATTCAATCTGGGTATAAGGCAGAGGAGCAGACTGAAAGTTTTTTCTTGGGGTGCTACAGCAATTATCAAAATAACAAACTGTATCTCTGTAGTGCCTGGCTACCAGTGGCACAGGGATTGCTTTTAGTAATTTATTTTTAGCCCCTCTTTTTGTTGAATGTTATAGAGAGGAACAGGCAAGTTATCTTTCATCCCAGTTACAAGGAAGGTCATAGTAATTGCAAGTCTTAGTAAATGCTATTAGCTAAAGGCAAGTTTTAAAATGTTTTCCTTTAAGCGTTGCACAACTTATTATGTCTCTCATTTTGGTGTGCTAGGCATGTACCTATCTGAATCTAAACATTTAAAGCATTTAGTCTTTAATGAACCTGCTCAGCCTTTATTCCTTACTCAAATGCTTTTCATCACTTGCTCAAACATTCTTTTTTTTTTTTTTTGATGTGGGCAAACTTTAATTGCACAGGCTTCATTACAGCACGTTCAGCAATAAACAAGCAAGGAAGCTGCTGGTTTTCAGAACACTTAAATGTCCTTTGCAATTCAGAAGATCAAGCACATTCCAGAAGGGGAACACTCCAGAAGGGAAGTCTCTCTGAAGATTGCTTAACATTTTAAAGAACGATTAGGCATAGTTGGAAATTCAAGGAGGTGAAAACATTTCCATACTTTTAGGCAAATACATATGGGAAATTCTACTTGATAAAGCAAGAGATGAGGCTGGGGCAGAACACTGACTAAAAAGAGGAGGGCCGCAGTGCCAAACAAATCAGTCCCAGTTAACAGGGGAGACACTACCCTACAGTCCAGGACTTGAATGTCCCCAGGCAGCAACTATCTGCTCCCACTTTGTAGTGGTCTCAATTTAGCCCACAAGAAAATCCTTGACTAGTAAATTCAAATGCCACTGAATTCTGGGACAGAGAAATTCTTACAGTACATACGTAAGCACTCCTGATTAATTAATTGGAGCAGTTACTATTGTTCCCATAAGGGTTTGTTCTATGTACTGGAATGGCTTAAGAAAAGTATTACCTAATTTTGATTTTATTTTATACTTTCAAGAGACACTGGAACAGAGGAAAAATGTGACTGATGGCCAGCTTTGGGTTCAAGCATGTATAAATCCAGACTCTGGAGACTCAAGGTCCCATCTATATTTTGGGGAAAGACTAAGGGAGACCATTACAACCAATCCCTACCAAAAGAATCCTACAACTATGCTGCTCAGTGCTCTAGCTGGTGAATGTTTCAAATAATAGAAGGCTTCAAGTTAACATCTAATTGTAAAATGTGGTATTTTGACAATAAACAGGCTCAAGGAGCACATCCTGGAAGAAAAATTATAGGATTATTCAGGCGGCTGCAGAGTCCCACTACGGCTCCCACCTCTGCCACACTAGGCTCAGGCAGACACATAAGGTGGGGGTGGCTCCTTGGCAGTGCCAGTCACAACAATGGCATCATCATATGGGGGCAACAGCACCATGGTGTCATTGCTGGTAACATAAACCAGGACATCAGAGGAGTTCCTGCCACTGATGTATCGGTAGCAGTTCCAAACGCAGCTGATCTAGTAGCTCTTAAATGTCAAGATAATGTTGAGAAATAGAAGAATAATAAGGACCAAACGTAGGATTCACCGACATTATCTCATCTGTGTAGGGAAAGTTGGGGGAGGGGGCAGCTTCTGTATGTATTCCTGAATGGAGTTTGGGTAAACAAGTACAGTGAGCGCAACCAAGGTGTTCAGGGCGAAATCGAAGATCTGGTAACAGAAGAACGGGACGATCCAGGCAGCGTGTTGCTTGTACGCTCGGTAAGTAGCCATTGCACATATCAGGATCATGAGAGAGAGATTGCCACAGCAATGCACATGTTGGCATCATCCATGAACTCAAAGTCCCCGCCTAGTTCAGAACCTGAAAAGTGATACTGATCCGGATCTGCCAGGGCACTCAGTAAGATTAGCAGGACCACTGCATTGATGATCAGGTACCAGACGCGCCAAGCAGGATGGTGCGGTGCGGACATGGCAGCACAGGTAGCAGCTGTTGGAGTAGAACCGAGTCCAGGCCGATACCATCTTCATAGATCCCGCAGCCTGCCCAGCCGCTCTAGCGCGCACCCCAAGTTTGCTAGAGTAGCTTCTTCTGTGTTGCCCGGGACCTGTCTCTGGCTCCTTGGCTGCTCCCGCCCAGCTGCCCGCACGCCTGGCCTCTGGCTCCACACTGCCAAGACAGCTCCTAGAGGCGGCTATAGCCGGATCCTGAGCTGGAAGATTGCGCGCGCG